TCATTGAATTTGTTTTAGGCTTCGACAACATCAGCATCTTGTTATTGCTTCTTAGATTATATTTATCAGAATTTGAGATTTTAAACATAGTTGAAACGTTTTCAGGACATTGGTTTGAAAGGGCTTTGGCCACATATGCTAATTTTTGCTCCTTTCTTCTCTCTTCGAGTGTTTTCCAATTTAATTTCTTTAAAATATCAGTGGAGCGAATTTCATAGGTATCACCTGTGATTACTCTAGCTGCATGGTTTTGTAGTCTCTGTAGCTTCTCTTTTGAACCTTCGCCACAGTTTCCCCAAACCATGGAGCAGTAATCAAAACTCGGTTGCACTAAAGCCTGATAAATATATTTAAGAGTTTCAAGAGAGACAAATGGCTTTGCACGGCGCAGCATACCAATGCCCTTCGATACCTTTTTACTGATGTTGTCGATTTGCTCATTCCAACATAGATTGTCATCAATTGCAGTACACCTAGTCTCTGTACGGTGTACTAAACTTTAACCGTATACAATTCTAGCTATTTGGAAACAACCCATATCCGTTACTGCGTTCCTTCCTCAGAGTCCAGCGGCCTTGCAAACCTACCACAGGACTATGTATATCTGGACGGCAACCGGACTGGGCAGAAAACCAACAAAACGCTACCCACCGGCGAGGCGATCAACGGCAGCAAGACATACGAAAGGATTTTGTCTTATTTTACCACGACGAATCTAACACCAGATCAAATATATGAGTTGGGATACAACCAAGTTGAAACTCTATACCCACAGGTATGAGCTAAGTTTGTAATTTACATAGTTCTAATAGTTCTCAGCTGTTCTCCGTAAAGGTCCAGTACGAAGAGGGAAGGGAGGGAGGGAGGGAGGCAAGGCAGCTTCAGTCCCCGCCCCCCCCCCCCCTTCAATAATTTTCATGATACTGAACGCATCTGCAATTTCGTGCTTGGTTTGGAAAATTGGTACACTATAATAAATACTAGTAGTTGCATGTTCAGATGGCTAAACTATCATTGCACGCAAGGCTGAAATATATTTCTCCTTTTTTACGTGACATTAATTACCTTTATCTTAGCCAAAATGTCCGCTGCATATATAGGTGTAATTGTTCTTTTACAATACAATAATCATGCAAGAATCGGCATGTGTTTCACAGAAATGTATCTACCTATCACCAGGCAATATACATTATTAAAAAATATTATATATTTTATATACAGTATTAAAATATGTTTTATATTTACGTACTTTGTAGGTTCTTGAAGTGGCAAGGAATGTGACAGGAATCTTCAATGATACTGAAGCGGTGAGGAAATTCCGAGAAATGCTCACAAATCATTCAAATTACTACAACAGCGAACCGTTCCCTAAAAACGAGTCAAACGAAGAAGCTCATAAGCGATGCAGCAATATAGAAGACGCGAAGAAATACTGTCCAAAACGCTGGGAGGCCGCTGAAAAATGGTGGACTGACGCGAGAATGGTAAACTAACAAAAATATTTACACTTGATAGCTCTGTCAGCTCTAAACTGTTCTCTCTAAAGTAAGGGTCATCCTTTATTGATCCAGTGTTACTACAGTAGGAAACTTAAACTAAACTAACTTTATTTATACTGAATAGCTCTATCAGTTCTAAATTGTTATTCCTAGAGGTCCACTAAGCGCTATCATTTGTTCGTCTAATTGTGTTACTATAGGAGGAAACCTCGACTATAAACTAAACTTACTAAATTTATACTGAATAGCTCGGAATAGCCCAAGAGATCGATCCAGAGACTGGACAGCGAATAACAGAAATATCTGAAAACCCGGTTGAGAACACTGGACTGCATGTTAAATGAAGGATTGCGAATGTAGTATGTTAGGGGATCCTATTCAATTACTTAAACCAAAAGAGTATAGCAAGCAAAAAGAAATATTTCCTTTTTAGGCAATGAGCCTGATCGATTCCAAGACAATAAACATGTTTTACTTCACTGGTAAAAAACACACAACTCCGAACTGTCCTGTAGAGCTACATCCTGACCTGAACCCGTCAAGCGGAGCACAGAGTTATGTCGAGAGTAACAACAAATGCTCTCATGGTGCAGCGTATAATATACCTTTCTTTTTAAACAACGCTGGACCGCGGTTCTCTGAGTGGTCTGTAAACGCACATGAGGCTCGACCAGGTCACCATACACAGGTAGGAACGATCGAATGAAGAAATGATTTATTGTAAACATGTTACCCATCACCATTCTTATCACCATTCTTATCACCATCGTCACCATCATCACCACCACCATCATCACCACCACCATCATGACCTCCATCATTATCACCATCATCATCATCATTATCACCGTCTTCATCAACACGATCATCATCACCACCACCCATCACCATCATCATCACCATCATCACCATCATCATCATCAGACATCATCAGGCATCATCATCAGACACCATCATCATCATTATCATCATCAGACACCATCATCATCAGACACCATCATCATCATCATCAGACACCATCATCATCATCATCATCCGACACCATCATCATCATCATTATCACCATCATCATCATCATTATCACCGTCTTCATCAACACGATCATCATCACCACCACCCATCACCATCATCAT